TTATATTCTCTCATTTTTTTATTCATAATTTTCAATAAAGTTTTATTATAGTATTTATTTGATTTTCAATTCAATAACTACTATTATTTTAACCGTTTAAAAATGATTCGTTAAACTCGCCACTGCTATATAGAATGAACACGTCTTTAACAACCTTACTATTTCGTTACAACCAAACTCATTACCAACAATTAATGTGAAACAAACATCACCAAAAAGATAATTTCTCAAAGCAACTTTGTAATTGTTCTTCAAAGCTGTTTTTCTTTCCTCATAAACCACCTTGGCAAATTTTTGCTATCATGAAAGGTTAGCAACGGGAGATATCTATTATATTTTGAGAATTGAAAAATGAGTTGAATTAGATAAAAATGAGAAAATTAAATAATTTATAAGTGACAAAAAGATCAACAACTTAATCTTTTAAGGTTTTAGTTCATTTTTATTCTATTGTATAGTAGACTCGTTTCATTTAGTTGAAGCATTTCCTTGGTAAATATTCGTGTTGCCTAATAATATCAATTTCAAATGTAACTGAGTAAAATTTGTTTTTGTTTCAGCTCTTAGTTTATTTGGATTTTTCTCAGTTTAATTTTCTCAAAGAAGAGCTGAAACAATTTTTTTTTTGTTAATTATGTTGGGTTAAACTCAGAAAAATTCATCAATCCAAATAAACTCAGATCAAACTGGCGTGGTTTGAGTCAAGTTTGTTTTTGTTAAAAATAAAAATAATTTTTACCACCTATGACTCAAACCATGTTTTGTAGATAGGTTCTGATGATGGGGTTGCACGGTCAGCTCCTAATAACCTCTTAATTACAGCATCTACTCTTACTGATTTCACGTATTTTACTCAATCATTATGCACTTGGATTATAAAATCTCTTCAAAATCAAGAAAACATTCAATGAAAAACAAAGGATAATGCTACTGGTAGACCATAAACCTCAGAAAACAAAATATTATCATTCAGAGTTTTTCTGACCAGAATTTATCTCTAATAAAATCATTGGTCGAACCACCCTGTACACTGGGCCAGAAGAACTTGGATAAGCAACTTCTGAAGAGCAACAAAAAGTAGATAATAATAGCTACGGTTACACTATGACAGCACAGAACAAAGCAAGTGCAGTGATAAAGCGTAGTAAAGAACAGCTAGCTGTAGGCCATGTTGCATTTTCAAAAACATATATAGTAACATCAACACATAAAAATAATTGAAGCTCTTATGAATTGTAGCTGGGTACACTCAATTACAATTCTGCACATTGTTTAAACAGTTAGGATTCTCACCTTGAGTGAAATAAAATCATTCCAGTGAAATTTACGCCCATATAGATTAATCTGATGATGACGTTTGATTATGAGGTACATTAAATCACCAGACTCTGACTTAATAGATTAATCTTTTGGGTTGAGTTCAAATTTACTTCCCAAATTTGTGCACATCAACTCTCTTAAAACGGGTGACAATATGTTAGTACTCCTATAAACATATTTAAGTCGTTGATTTTTCTCCCATTTTTATCAAGACAATACATGATTAAGAGTGAACATACTAACAACAATAAGTGATCCATTTAAAGTCACTTAATTATATAACAGAGCTATATAGTTGTTGATTTGGTTGGTATGCTAGACCTTGGTATGTTTCTTTGCTAGGAGTGGGGTGTTTAATGTTGATTTTTGGAGTGGTGTGTCCCTGATATGAATTAGGATTTTTAGGGTTAGAACCTTGTAAGAAATTTAGGAATTTGAAAGAAGGTGGAAGGAAAGAATCACTCTTCCCAAGGGAGGCAACACACAAAGGATGTTACAGTCCTTTGATACAGTCAAGGGTTCTTGAATCACTCAAGAATTTAGGAGAATCACTCTCACTAAGATAAAAGAGATAAACTCTAATATTTCTGAATAAAATTTCACTTATTATTTCTTGATAAGAATGGTTCAACTGATATAGAAGCGTTGCCATCAGAATTACAAAAGACTCAATAAAAGAAAATAAATACTAATAATAACCCATTAATCTAGGAATTGAAAACTATTTAATGGAAACAAATAAAGGCTAATAATGTTCCATTAACCTAGGAATTGAAACTACTTAATGACTGATTGTATTTGAAACTGTGGCAACCAAAAGTCAATCAGTTATGCACCCCTTGGTCTCCCAAAGGCTAATGACTAAATTTTCAATTGGGCCCTTATTACAACTTAAAACAAAATCAAACTAAAGCCCATTAATTAATCAAAACACAATTTGGTCAACCAACAATACTTGTTGAAGAGCTTCCTTTGTTTCCCTTGCTCTAGCCCTTATCATAGGTCATGTTCACATCATTCTCTCCCTCTTGAAAAGGATTTGTCCTCAAATCGGATTCATCATCTACATTAAAAAGAGATAAGTCTAACAAATTAAATGTAGAACAAACATTATACTCATTTTTTATGGCTAAATAGCTCTGTTTCACTTCAAGTGTTTCACTCTTCTTTTGATAACTTTTTTTCCTCTCAAGTGTTTCACTAACGCTTTCTTTCTCTCTCTTTTCTTGAAGAAGTTTTTCTAACATTTTCTTTTTATCCTCACATACTTCTTGTGGACTCAAAGGTTTGAGCACAATCTTCTTGTCTTGGTGTATGAAAGAAATCTTGTTGGTGAACCTGTTATGATTAACCCTTTTATCAAATTGTCATGGTCTCCCCAAAAGTAAATGACTGACTTCCATAGGAATAATATCACAAAGCACCTTATCATTGTATTTTCCAATGGAAATGTCCACTTCAACTTGTTGTCTCACTTGCACCTCTCCATCCTTACTAAGCCATTGGAGTTTATATGGCCTAGGATGTGGTTTGGTAGCTAAATTTAGCTTTGATACTAATCTAGCACTAGCCACATTGGTGCAACTACCTCCATCTATGATCATCATGCACACCTTGTCATTGATTAAACATCTAGTGTGAAAAATATTTTTTCTTTGGTTTTCTTCCATAGGTTTCAATTGACTATCAAGTAATCGCCTAATCATCAATAAATCTCCCTTTGAAATCTCTTCCTCCTCCTCACACTACAAAAAAAAGCCTATTACCTACGGTAAAAATCCGTAGGTAATGGCAAAAATCCGTAGGTAATGTCATTTTACCTACGGATTTTTTCCCGTAGAAAATCCGTAGGTAATATGGTCGTAGGTAATTACCTACGGAATTACTATCCGTAGGTAATGTCGTCCGTGGGTAATTACCTACGGATTCTGTTCGTAGGTAATTAACTACGGATTGCAATCCGTAGGTAATTACCTACGGATTGCAATCCGTATGTAATTACCCACGAACAGAATCCGTAGGTAATTACATCATTCAAAATCCGTAGGTAAATCCGTAGGAAAATCACTAGGTAAATTTATACAATTTTATCACCACCAATTTAACTAAATTTTACCTGTTACATGCATATTACACATAAAATATTTAGATATCAAATTTAACAATATTCCATAATATTTATATGCACCAAATGCATATTCAGATATCAAACACAAATCCTAATATTAGCATGCATCAAGTAGTCCTTGAAATATCTAAGAACATACAAATCCAAAGAAGTACTATAATAAATATTATGACAATATTGTTTGAGTGTCCTAATAATTATAGTAATGTCCTTGTTCATCTTGAGGTCTGCTCTACGAAAGTCTGGTTGATTTTGTGATTGTTGTTCGTTGCTCTTCGTTGCTCCTGTTGTGATTATTGTTGTGATCCTTGTTGGGAATGTTGTTGTTGAAATGCTTGTCGGGCATCGGGTGGAAGTAAAGGAAGGACAACACTGACAAGTGTTTGTAATTGGTGGTTCGATCTTTCATTATCCTCCCTATAACTAAGCACTTGTTTCTTTAATTGTGTAATCTCACGAGAATCAGTAGATGCTAAATATGAGAGGGTATCTCCAGGCCTAAACTTATGGGCAAGTTCTCCAACACCGTAGATCCGACCCTTTTTGTTGCTAGATGCAGCAAGAATCCAACTTTCAGTCCTTATTCTCTCCTCCTCTATAGGATCTAATGGAGATGACTCGGTTTCAGCAGACACAGGATGTTGCCTCGGATCTAGCCTCGAGTATCTTCTCCGAAATTCTTCCTATTCACATACAAATAAAAATTATGTACGATATACAACACATATCCATCATAACATATAAGAGAGTAATAGAGTAATATTAAATAAGTTCACAACTCACATGAGTTTTTCTAGACCTTTCATCAACAAATTCACCATTAACCTTTCGTATATGAGTCTGTTTGAACACCTCATCAATATGTGCGGGACGACCCAACTCCTTTTCCTGGAAAAAAAATTAATTAATAACATATCATGAAGAAATGAAAGAAAGAAACTTTTGTTATAATTTCATATTTACCATACGAATGGCGTGTTCATGCATACTAATAGAACCACCTGTGTGTAAACTACCACCCGTCTCGGAAGATCGATTCTTCCGAGCTTGTGCACACTTTGCACGATAATCAATTGAGTTCCACTTGTTCAACAGAGTTTTCCACACATCATCAAACATCCAATAGGGCTTTTGACCTGTCCTTCTAGCATCTTTGAACATTTCAGATAGCCTATGTGAGGCCTTTGAGTGAAAATTCTTTCGAATCCTATCCTCATCTTCAGGTCTCCATGTGACCTTTCTCTTTGCAAATGATTTACACAAAAAAACAAATAATAATAATTGTGTCAATGAATGTAAGTAATAAAAATAATTCATCAGCCTAAATATAAGAAAACTTACTTTAAATCGTTGAAAGAATGTCTCTTTTTCAACATCGGTCATTGAACCTCATGTCAGCCATGGCTTAGAATATTGTTGCTTAATAGTCATTGTTATAGCTTGTGATGCAACCCGACATGGAAGGAACCTTCTCCAAATAATTAAATTAAATAATAATCACAATTTCCTAATACTTGCAAATAATGGGAATGATATAATTTTAACTTCATTCTTACCCTAGACCATAAGGTGATATGATAGGAAGATTAGTGCCAAGTGGATGATCCTCCTCAATGTCTAATTGTGCATCACCTTGCTGAATATGCACTTCTTGGTCTTCCCCAGCTGGTGTATGACGAACTCTAGAAGGCACTGATAATGGTGATAGTGCTGGAGACCTTGAGGGTAATGTAGGTGAGACCAAAGGTAGTGGTGATGGTACCGATGATACTGAAGGCAATGTAGCTCCCGGGGAAGGTGCTTGATGCAATGACAGGTGATGGACTAGGGTTGGGTGCATCAAGCGGGGATGGGGCAGAAGTGGCTGAAGGTGCAATATTGTTTGTATGGGCATGTATATTCTCCGCACTGCAGATGAAGAAGGTATAGGTGCGGGAGCTACGGGTGGGGGAGGGACATTTACTTTAAGTATATAGCGTGGTTTTTTTCGTTTCGTTACTTTTTTCCCCTTATTGGAATGAGACATGGGAGGTTGGGGTGAGTCACATCCTCCCGATGACATATCTATACATAGGAAATTTATATAGTCAATTATGCAATGGAGTAACGTCATACATAATATGAAATAGAAAAATTAACTCAAAGAAAACATTTTTTCAACTACATAATAAACATTTTCTCAACTACATCATGTAGAATATAAAAATTAACTCATAAAGAACAATTTCTCAACTACACAAATCCTATTCATCTTCATCTTCATCTTCTTCCTCTTCCTCTTCCTCTTCCTCTTCCTCTTCCTCTTCCTCTTCCTCTTCTTCTTCTTCTTCTTCTTCTTCTTCTTCCTCTTCCTCTTCCTCTTCCTCTTCCTCTTCCTGGACTACTTCAACATCAACTTGTGAATGTTGCAATCCAAAAACACCTTCAACTTCAATAGCTTCATTTACATGGGACATTTCATCCATTTGGTAAGGAACATCATCTTCCATGTCTTGAGATTCTATGCGACCTCTAGGCTTCGTTTTTATAGCAACATACCACCCTTGTTTGTCCTTTCTTGATCTCGGATATGGGATATAATATACTTGTCTAACATTATGTGCCAAGATAAAAGGATCAAATGGTAAATACCTTCTATCCATGCGAATGTCTACAGTTCCATATTTAGAATCTACTAATGTACCTCTACGTGATGGATCAAACCATTCACAATAAAATACCACCACTTTCTTCGGGGAGGTTGAAGTATTATATTGCAGCTCATATATGTGTTGAATGATGCCATAAAAATCATCTTCACCTCCTTCGTAAGACCTTTTACATGTACACCACTATTGATTGTTTTTTTCCCCGAGTCCAAGCATGAGTGTGGAATTTGTATCCATTGACAAAGTATGTGTGCCATTTATTGACACATGTGAAAGGACCAATTGACAACTCCCTTAAGTGCATGTTTCTTACACTTAAAGACTCACTATGAACCTACAAATGTAAAGAAGGTATAGTCATATGTTGTTAAGCATATTTTAATAAACTAAGTTATTAATGTAACCATACATACTTGATGCTTAAACCATTGAGGAAAATGTCTATGTATGTGATTGGACATGTTTGAGTCATTGGGTTGACCAGATTGCAAGAAGGCACTATGAAAATATAGGAGAAGGATGGAGAACAATTTAATTAAAAAAGAAAATGATATAATAATGAAATATAGTGTTTGAAATACTCACTCAAGGTATGACTTAATTTCGGTGCAGTTGATCAAGACATGAACATGAGCCGAGTTCCACTCTTTTTGAGTTAACCAATGAATTGATGTCTTTCCTGAGTGACGACTAACCAAGTTAAAGATAGATAACATTGATGGATCCCTTTCAATTTCGGCTTGTATTTCATTTCTCTTATTCTGTGGTGATAGAATGAAGTTCTTGAAATAATGGGAACAAAAGTGAGTTGTCTCTCGATGCAAGTATGATGCACAAATTGATCCTTCAACACGAGCTTTATTTTTACTGATCGTTTAGAATCACCCATGAATCTATAAAATGAATGAAATGAGGATGATATTATCTCAATATTTAGTAAATCAAATTTTGTGCATAATCAATGATAGTCTTCTTACCTTTCAAATGGATACATCCATCTATATTGAACTGGTCCACCAAGTTTGGCTTCATACACAAGATGAATAGGCAAGTGTTCCATTGAATCAAAGAATGCAGGGGGAAATATTCTCTCCAACTTACAAAGAATTATTGGAATATTTTCTTCCATTTTAGCCAAGTCATGATGCCTCAATGTTGTAGAACACAAATCTTTAAAAAAATGGCTCACTTCAGTAAGAGGGTTCCAAGCATGCACTGGTAATGAACTAAATGCAATAGGGAGTAAACACTCCATAAAAACATGACAATCGTGGCTCTTCATCCCATGCATCCTTCCCTTGTCTACATCGGCACATCTTGCTAAGTTGGATGAATAACCATCGGGCATTCTAAGTTCCTTGATCCAATGACAAACTAACTTTGCTTCCTCTGCAGTTAAAGTATAATTTGCTTTTGGCTTTACCATCTTCCCATTAGCACGCAACTTCAACTCTAAATCTGGTCTTCAACAATACAAAGCTAGGTCCTTCCTTGCCTTATCATTATCTTTTGTCTTACCTTTGACATTCATGACAGTGTTGAATATATTATCAAAGAAATTTTTCTCTATGTGCATAACATCAAGATTGTGCCTCAATAAATTATTCTTCCAATACGGCAAATCCCAAAAGATACTTCTTTTTGTCCAATTATGCCATTCCCCATAGCCTGGTAACTTGTTCATATGAGGGTAATCTATGACTTTGGGTACATGCATAATTATACTCCAAACTTGCTCGGATGTCAATGTACATGGTGGGTCATTAGTTTCAATTTTTCCCTTTTTAAAAGCTTTTTTATTCCTTCTAAATACATGATTTTTGGGAAAGAACCTACGGTGTGAATCAAACCAACTATTTTTCCTCCCATTCTGCAATGTAAAGGCCTTTGTATCCCCCATGCAATGCGGGCAGGCTAGTTTACCTTGAGTCCTCCAACCTGACAACATACCATATGCAGGAAAATCATTAATAGTCCACATCAAACTAGCCCTCATTACAAAATTTTGTTTCCTTGAAATATCATATGTTTCAACTCCTCTCCACAATTGCATCAGATCATCAATCAAAGGTTGTAAATACACATCAATACATGACTTTGGATTACGTGGACCAGGAATGAGGCATGTAAAAAACATATAAGGTTTGGACATACATATTTCAGGAGGAAGATTATATGGGGTCATAATTACTGGCCAACAAGAATAGGGCGTGGCAGATGCTTCAATATATGGATTAAATCCATCGGAACATAGACCTAGTCTTATATTGCGTGGTTCAAGCAGCAAAATCTGGATAAACTTGATCAAAATGCTTCCAAGCTTTACCATCGGATGGATGACACAACACACCTTCTGGTCTTTTATTATCATAGTGCCATGTCATTTGTCCAGTCGTTTTCATGGATGCATACAACCTCTTTAACCTCGGAATTATAGGTAAATAGAACATGCTCTTAATCGGAATTGGTTTATTTTTACGAGTTTCAACTTTTGGGGCATGATACCTTGGCTTGTGACAAAATTTGCATTGCAGCAAAGATCCATCATTTTTCCCGTAATCATTGTCATAAAAAAGCATACAATCATTAACACAACAATCGATCCTTTTAGCCTCTAATCCCAACTTTGAAACTAACCTCTTCGCATCGTAATAGTTTTTTGGTAAACTATTTTTGTTGGGTGTTACATCCAAAAGCATTTTTATAATGAAATTTAAAGTGTGATCAGGAACATGCCAATTAGATTTGCAAGCTAACAATCTTACACATATGGACAGTTTGGAGTCTAAAGCACCTTCAAACAAAGGTTTATTCGCTTCCAACAACAAATCATAAAATCTTTGAGCTTCTTCATTTGGAGGCTCTTCCATGATATTTGACTCTGGTGGTTGAAATGTTTCATGTTGCCTAAGTGCGTCATACACCATGTCCTGCATTGCCATCAATGCCTCATCTTCTGAAAAATGTAACCCACTACTTGAAGCATGTGTCCAATTTTTGTTAGCATGAGGCATTTCCTCACCGTGATCAACCCAAACATAATAATCAGGCATGAAACCATTTTTATAAAGGTGAAGTTTAACCATTTCCATTGGCAAGATCTTTGTACATTGACATTTATTGCATGGACATCTCATTTGGCCTTCATTTTGATAACAAACTTGTTGAGAAGCTTTCATGACAAACTCTTCAACGCCATCAACAAAACTTTGTTTTAAACCACCTCTATTACTATGGCTTCGATCATACATCCAATAGCGATTTGCATAAAATTGATCCATGTTCTACAAAATGTGAACTTTAATGTTACACTAATTAAAGTACAAAATTAGAAAGGATTTTGACAAGTGTTTGGTAATGACCAATATAATAACTTGAAGGCTATTCCATGTAGGACTCATGTAAACCTCTTAGCCAATAAGGTTAGAATAACTAAATAACTAATCTCATCTTGATAATATATGAAGATACAAAACTAACAATATTCATCATAAGTTGATATTCATCAATTATAATACAAAATATTCATCAATTTTAAATGATGATTGGTAATATGTATCTTGAATCAATGCAAACAAATTGAACAAAATAATCAAACAACTCAATCCTTCGACTAACCATGTTACATGTTACATTTATTGCCCCCAATCCTCACTGAATACAAGGCATCCATAGCCAGCTAATCAATCAGTATTTAAAATTCAATATAGAAAAGTCAAAGGTAATTACTTACCTACTAACAAAGATCTTCAAATTGGATGAGGAGTCACTTCCTTCCCTTTATCCTTCTATCTTTTATGAAGCTTCCCCCTATGAAATTACACGACACGTTCAAACGCAAACCATACTAATAGCCTCATGGTAATCAACCACACAATCCAACCAACTGAATAATAACATTATTTAAATATTATATTTATTATTTTATTATATAATGAATTGTCAGTTGTAAACATGTACAGTATATTTCTCCCTCTCTAAAATAGGTTCATGTAAACAGAAAGTAATTGAACTAGTTTTTCTAACTGTTGAACACACAACAGTATGATAACAAGAGCTAAGTTAAAGCATTCCATGGTACGAGTATAATATAAATAATAATTCACGCTCTAAAAATGTTCACCAAATTCAATGATTTTGTATTATAACTGTGAGATGTATTTGAAAACTCTTATTTCTGAATCAATTTTATTATCGTAAACTTCAAAAGACATTATATAACCTTAAATAAATAAGAACTGATTTCCTAAGGTACCATCATTTTTTATTAAATATTATATATTTTCAATCTATTTCTGATTATTCAATATTTATAAAGTTTTTCTCATATCTCTTCCCCACTTTTCTTAAGCGGATATATCATGCACGCTTTTAATGC